TACTAAACGAACTGAACTATTCGATTTTATATATTTCCAATTGAGTGAACTAATTTACTTTTTGCTGTACTTTATCTTTATTTTGTGATCAATTTTTATGCCGTGAATTGTTAAAATTATTAATTTCAAGTTTGGTTTGAACTGATTCCTAATCTATAGTCACAAATAAATGTAAATGCCAGTGAGTTTATTGTATTTTACCAAATATCTATCAATTCACAACTTTTCATCAGATATATCTGAAATAAACCAGAATTATAATCAAATGTGGCATTGAGTTATTCCCAGGGTTTAGCGATACTTAGCTTAAGGTGGTTCATAAATACTCATCATACAGTATTCTACATTGCGTAATGTTCGATAGGCATTATATCGGCACGCACCAACTCTCGCTTGGACATTTCATACAATCTTTCCACAGAATGAGAAACATCTGCAGCGCGTGGTTAAATAAGAAATTGGTCGGATGCGCTCATTCCTTATCGATTTTAATCGATAAGTATGTTGATAGGTATTTGTCTGTCTGTCTGTTGTTAGACGACGGTATATCTCACGAAAGCGAGATTGAATCTGCTCCAGATTTTGCATGTGCATTCATCATATGTCGGACCAGAAGCCTATATATTTTGGATGAATTATGTCGTATAATTGGCGAGTTATTAATTAATTAGTGATGAGACACAAGGTGTCACTATGGAGTAAGAGCGCTGTTTTGGGAATCCCCTAACTTTCGATCGATAAGTCTTTGGTCTCTGACCGATATTCTCGTTTCTTCATTGGCCCAGACGGCGCCAAATATTTGATTTGCGGCTCGTTCTTGCAGCGTCGATGATGGACGGATTCTGACTGCTCTATGCTACCATCTTGCGTTACCAAAACTAGAGAACTAATGGACCCGTTTCCCTAATTTTATTTCTATTTTCTAAATAATAGTGATTTCGTTACCCGCAGTCCTTAATAAATTTAAATTGGTTGATTATACACCATCTGACATTGACCTAAATCGTAATACTAAACATGCTATTCAAATAGCCAGCACTAAAATTTTCCGTTAGAGTCCGTTTTACAAATTTCCACATAGTCAGAAGCAACCATTATTCTTTAATGTTGTTTACCATCGAACTGCTTTCATTATCGTTGGTTGGTCAATTTTTACGGGCACTGCTCGCGACTTTCTTACTGAAAATAGAACGCAAGGCCCGAATTATATTCGTATTTTTTGTAACATTTACCCTCTGTTATTTCTATGATGTTTGGAATAAGTGGAAGCGCGCTATTTTAAATTTTGCTTGATTTTCTGTTACACGGTTTGGCGCCATTTCGCACATGAAACCACTAGCTATTTCGCAAGGTAGCGGTCCTCAATAAATATAAAACTACTAAACACTAAGGAAAAATGTATTGTTGATAACAACGCGCGCTGTGAAGCTCAGATATACTACATTCCACGCCGAGCCGAAGAAATTTTGGGTACCGGTACCGGTAGGGCAGGACACGACTCAGAAATAAGAAAACACCTTACCTGACTTTCTTCCAGCTGGCAATGAAGATCTGTTATATATCCGGGGCAATCTAACAAATTATTCTTGAGTATTCATAAAATCATAGTTTAAAAAGTCCAAGTCCATGCTTCCGAAAACAAACAATACAGTAAAAACTAATCCCATACCCGACTTGGAATGGTAACCGGACGAGAGGCCGTGGTTCGCCATATGGATAAGCCGTCTTATCGGCTTTCCTCTCCCCCGGGATAAATATGTAAATCCTATCCTATCCTATCCTAAAAATGCGCATTATCAACACTCCGTCTATTTTATTGTACAGCAACTCGCCGACATACTTTGCAAAATTGATTGAATATCGAGTCATAGAATTTATGCTTGCCAGATATTCACCGTGAAGTAACAGCGAATTTCGGTTGGGCATCGATCTATTTTTAAGCTTGTAATGCGATATATTTTAAATCCTGTCTACTGTTTATGGCATGTACGCCAATTACATTGAATGGTCAAATTTGAAAATAATGAAAAATAGTTTAATTTATATACTGTGCCAATTATTATCACTATTCACTAGTCTGGCAACATACTTTATACATCAGCTGCAATTGTGACGAACAGTACATTTGTTGTTGCATAATAGTTAAGTTTATTGAAATGGCCAAGTCGTGTGATCTGCAGAACTGGTCAAGCTTTGGACTGTTGCTACATGAGAACGATTATACGTCTGGTACTCGCTTAAGTATAAAACACATAGGGCAAGTGAAGGCAAGATGAGGTTGCGCTGTGACAGCCGTCGGGACTGATATATGGCGCGGTATGTTCTGGACCTCCTCTTAGAAAATTAGTCAAACATCATTTACTATAAAGCCTTTTCGGTATTGGAATAACTGTTATTGGGAACATAACGGAGCCGAACAAGGTTAATGTGGTTTTAGTATAAAATATGAATGTTGAACTTATTGGTGAACCGTCATATCTGACTAAATAAAGTTGTTTTTCGAGAGAAATACAAGCAGGTAGTCAAAACAAACAACGAAACCCCTGTTGTGATAAAAACAAACAATATTACATTGTTATGGCTCCGTTCATCCTAAATATCTGTAAATTTCGGTCGCTTGCTTTCGTCTGTAATTGAAATGCTTTGTTATTGCAAGAATTGCTGGTGCCAGCGTGTTTTCACCGTGCACATTATACTTCGGCGTTTAAATATTCGTCAATTGTCATTGCCCTAATTTTGCCTCCAACGTCAAAATGGTCATTTCATGGGAACAAAGAGTTCTGGTATCTAGCAACGGCGATACTGCGCCCTAATCTTCCACAGACCTCGTAAATAAAGTTACATTTAAATTAATCATCGTAATTGTCAATGCGTCTGAACACGATGCCATCTATGAGGAAGCGTTTTTGTTGTAATCGAGCACTATTTCAAGTCATTTAACTGCGGGTTTGTAATTCACTGTGGGAAATTGATCTGCTTGTTATGTTATCTCCAATCAGAACTATCTAACACAGGGGTCACCAACCTTTTCAAAGCCGAGGGCTACTTTTTAGGTACAGATTAAGCTGCGGGCTACCAGTTCAATGTACACTTCTAAAAAAATTAGTTGCTCGATTAAGCTTCAATTATTGATATAATTACTGGTATTTAGTGAGGTACAGACACTAATAAACTTTCGGATTCTTCAGGAAATCAAACGATTATCACAATGTTGCAAATAAATTTCTATCAATTACACTTGTATTTCAAAACTGAGTATTTTCAAATTGATTTTCAACAATCTGCACAAGTCTAAGATAAAATGTACTTAACAGTTGTACTATCAAATGTTGCAGAGTATTATACTCCGACGTGTAACTTGACACTGTAACTCTGAGCGAGTCTTGCAGATTTTCATCAGTGAGGCGTGTTCCATGTTTGTTCCTGGTGGAGTGAGTCGCGGCGCTATGGCCCATCGTGTTAAGCGTTAGGTTCGCAGGTTAGAATCCCATGCGGGGATTGTTATGTGCAAAAGGATTGCTGGACTCCTCGCCGCCGTAGGGTGGTTCACGTAACCGCTGGTCGGTTAAGGCTTCCTTCGCCATCAAGTCCAAGCTTCCGGAAACAAATAACTAACTAATTCCATACCCGACATCGAATGGTAACCGGCGAGAAGCCGTGGTTTATTATATGGTTAAGCCGTCCTATCGGCTATCTTCTCCCCCGGGATAAATATGTAAATCTCCTATCCTGAATTTATGTCAAAAATGTTGATTCGAAAGGATAGGTTGAAACAAACGATGGTCTCGTAAAATAGGATTACTGTATGATTTGAATCGCGAGATTTTTTCTGTCCGTACTGTGCTGACCAGTGGGTAGTTAGCGCGGAAGATTACGTGACAAGATGTGAAATATCTCTCCGCTTTGCCGACGCTAAAATCGCCCCACTAATGAGACACACGCAGGCTGTTTTCATGGTGGTATAAATATATCCATCTCCCATTCATCGTGAAAATGATGGATTTTTCTTTGGAATCAATAATTGTGTTATTACTGCTCCGCTAACCAACGGACAAGAAAAAGCGGTTCGTGGAAAGTGATCCCAGTGTGATGTCATAATTGGAAGAGTGTTAATTGACCCGTCACATTACTGAGGTCAAATAAAAATAAGGTTGATGGTTACAATTACAATAATTGATTTATACTAAAATAGCAGGATAAAATATAATTGATGTAGCTTACTTAAAAGAGCCTTTATTAAGCTTAGTTTGGAACAGACCTGCGGGCGACTAATATGATCTTCGCGGGCGACTTGGTGCCCGCGGGCAACGCGTTGGTGACCCCTGATCTAACACATGCGCAACCATTCCTACTAAAACAAGTCTATCCGAAAGTTTCGAGGCAAAGCAGCCACTTTAATAGAATTTGAATATAGAGGTTCACTAGTTAGTTATTCATCTTTTGCTTTAAATACTACGGTTTTATGTATAATAGCTCTTGCCTAATCCAGCCTCTGTCATTAAATAACGTCACTTTTAAAAAATAACTCCAGATAGATATATAGTATAGTTTATTTTAAAACTCACACAAATGTTAAATTAAGGACAGCGAGCTGAACCTCTGACGAGCTTTAAAGGTTAAATCATCAGAAGTGACAAATGCCCGCTCACTAATAATATATAGAGAATCAAGAAAAACACAAATATAGGTAAACAAGGCTTGAGCCAGGCAATTAGCAAAAATACTCGACTAAATAAAAATTTCAGGCTATTGTGCTAATAATAATGTCGTGAACAACTAATTTTTTATGGTACGTTTTGAGAAGATATAGAACTTTGGGAATGGGTTTGTCATATAAGTTGTTTTGCAAAGACACAAAGTAAACTCATTATGAATCGTTAACACTGTGATATATACTGGTTGAACCATATGACGGCGGCGGATTAATGGAGAAAAAACTACAAAAAAAAGGACCTAAGAGAGGGCCAATTTGCTATTAATAGACAGTTGATTAACAAATTTATGTTAAAAAAATGTTAAATTTCTACTTTTCCCATTGCTCAGCAGTCGCATTTTACTTCGCCTTCTTGCTTGACTCAGGTCCGTCCTCATCAGTCGTCGTGTTCTGCGTTGACTGTAATAAATTTCCATATTATAACGAAGTTAATCATATCAACTCGAAGTTTTTTTGCGGAGACATTCAAGTTATACTCAACATTAGGAAATTTCGAATTCTATTTAGGCCTGGATTTTCACTTACGCGCAAGCGATTCTTGTTTAAAAATGGTGTTGAAAGGATATTGGAACAGGCGACTATGCATGCCAAATATGGGCAGATTTTAGTTAAAGCAAACTATTTTCATAAATGTTTGTTCAAAGCATAATACCAAACCTAAGGCAGATGCTGATTATTGTATCACTGATACGCTGAGGGGTATAAGTGGTTCATCTTCGCAACTGATATGTCATTGGATATATTTTGAGACTGTTACTTACTAAGGTATTTGATAACACAACAGGTCATACGTCGTGTATTACTTATTCTGTCTTTGTGAATAAATAAAAGTACAAACCTTTGGTCGTACACGACTTTTGAGTTTGATTGGTTGTCCCGCCGAATTGCATAAATCCAGCAGAGAAGGTGCCCTTGAATTTTTGATCTATAAAGCGATAGCAAGCGGTTAAAGCAGGAATGGGCAAATTACTTGAACCTAGCTATTGCACGGATAAAATGAAATCCGGCTCAAATATTACAAGCTGAGTAACCAAGGATACATATTGTGAATAACACTCACACGTATTTCCAAAACTTCCCGGATTGTTGAACCACCCTGGAATAAATAAAATGAATTGACTGTCAATATATCAATTGGGTATTTTATGACTAAAATTGCTAAAAAAAAAGATAGCTTAACTGACAAACAGATAAAAGGGAACGTAAATTTTTTGCCTCTGTTCGTAGGGCGGTAATATGAAATAGGAATATTTTTAGTGCTTAGTCGCCGAGTGTCCTTTTTGTCGAGTCAGCTAGATTATTGTTTTCTATAATACAGCATACCTGCGACATGAAAAACACCTCTTCCGCAGGCAGCCAAGACGATGCCAGCTACTGCACCCACGAACACGCCTAAATAGCCAATTGAAGATCCAGTGAATCCCCCTGACAATGCAGCCAATATCATTGCTACGATCATCGCTGCAACACAGAAATGCATATTCAAAAACCAAAGATTAGCAAGACAAATATTAAGCATGATTGTGTTTAGAAAACACGAGGTATAGTACCTACAAACTAGCCATTGGGATCGGAATCTGATTTTTTTTACATAGAAATATTGTTTGTGAAAATACTTCCCCATGTGCGGCCAATCGCTCATTCCAAGTCTCGGATGAAATAAAAAAAAAAATTACTTTTTAGTACTTATCTACCTGCATTTAATCGTTGACAGCTAATACTAGACAACTGAAAAAAAAAACGATTCCACTTACCTATACTAGGTGTAATGTTTTGATTTTGCTCCCCAGGCAACCTCTGAGATCTCCTAGGTCTTCGCTGACCCTGGGTCTGGTGGGTACCAGATTCGGTATTCTCTGCATTTGTGAGAAAGATGGAATTTTTAGGCTTTTGATATCATATGTGTATTTTTATAAAAAGGCATAGTTTGTCAAAGTGTTTGGGAAGGACTTTGCCTTTCTAAAAAGGGCGAAACTTCTTTAGGAAGAGTCAAATTGATCGATTTCGGAGAGACTTAATTTGACACGAAGTGGACCTATGGATTGTTGGTATTTTTGGTATTGGTATTTTTGTTCTTCTTGTGCAAAAAATCGCCTTTTTTTTAACTTACTGAAACAATTGTTTTTACAATTTCTATGGTCAAAGATTGTTCTTGTCACTATAAGGATACCATTTTATTGATTTCTAAATTTTCTGTGGGGTCTGATATTCAAAATGCGCTATTCATTTTTTTAATTCTGGAAACGTTTTTATGACAGCGTGATGGCTGTTTTCCAAGATTTTATGGCATCGTGACTGCTTATACCGGGAGTCTACTGACAGATTAAATACCCGTACTGCGGCGTTTTTAACTTCGTGTCCATATATTTGAGAATCGAACTCTTGCCTTTAAAATATACGCGTAAAAAAAGCATAACACGTTTTTTAAAGCTACGTTCAAAAGAAAATAGCGCTTTGATAAAAGTCATAGGAATATCGCAATTTACCAAATAACATATCAATACAAAAATTAGATATTCTGCGTATAAGTTTTCGCCAGAAAATAGTGTTTTTAGTTAGATATAACTGTTATAAATAATATAACCTATGCGAGAGATTTAGTTTTTCCGGCGCTTCCGTGGTATACGTACCAAGATGGCGCACAACCTGATAACCCTAACCTGGTACACATACTATGTTCAGGTTGTACGCCATCTTGGTACGTATACTGCGGAAGCACCGTTTTTTATTATACGGAACTTTACAAGTGGCATAGACTAGAGTTGGTATGGGCAGAATACGACCCGCGGGCCAAATCCGGGTGAATCCATCTGACTGCCTGATGCAGACACAACCCAACTTCACCAAATTTTTACGTTTTAGCTAAAAAGTAGCTCAAGAAATTTATTGAGTTTGTGATTAAATACTGTTTTAGCACGTTGCTTATTGTTTCCCAATTTAGCTTTTGTAACACGGTAAATATTGTTCTTAAAATGTAACTTTTTACGTCACACGCATAGTATTTATAAAAATAATACATGGCTTATATTCCCAAACATATTAAAGAAGCCAATTTGACACAACAGCTGTAATTGTACCTGCGCCCGGTGTATTGTCAGGAACTTGTTCTTCGGGCGATCTTTGAGATTCGCTTGGTCCTTCTTCACCACGAGTCTGTTGAGTGCTCGAATCACGATTCTCTGTGATGTTTTTCGACAAGTTATTAGATTTTTAAAATTATAATAGTTTTCAGAGAACTTGGCCATTTGAAAATAACATGGTCTGTTGGGATAGACTTCTTTTCAGAAAAAACATTCCCTCATTTGAAATCGCTTTTTTAGAAAGAGCAAGGTCTATTAGTATTCTTTAATATGACTTTATTTGATGGAGAGTGGGGAAGCGTATTTACGAAGAAAGCAGCTCATTTCAAATGAACATAGCTTTTTATCAAACATATACTGTAAATGTTAAACACACAAAATGACGGCATACCCTATTTAAAGTGGGCATAGCATTTAAAAAAAAACAGTTCGCGGTCGTTTTAGTGACATAGATAAAAATGCAAAGTTAAAGCTAGTATTCCAATATCGAAGACCGAATTTTTTAAATATACCTGCATTTGGCGAAGATGAATTTCCCGAATCGTTTGAACTTCCTGCGCCTAGATTCGAAGTCGAATCTGGATTTTTCCTTGTCGGTTTTCTCGTGTATTTTGGCGGATTTTTAGAAGGCATGTTTAGTATTTTATAAAACCAATGTTATGTTGATGAAATTATTCTGAAAAACAAGACACGTATTCACGGGACTCCCTTCTTCCTGAAATCGGAGTTTTACTACCTTATCTGATGAAAACTAAACAAGTTGGATAAATTAGAGGCTGTGGGCATATGCATCGATATCGAACGATAAGTTGACGCGACATGTCGGTGATTGTCGCGTGACCACGTTCAAATTCAAGGGGTTTGAGAATTAAGTGACACTCCAATCAAAAGTTATTTGTTGTTTGCTATTTTGTTGTTTTATTGGAATCTATATATTGATTTCATCGTTGTCGTTTTCAATTGAAGAAGATCATACACAGAGAAGATTTTACTAGTTTCAATTAGACTAGTTTCCAAACCTCGGCTCGCGTAATGATTCAATGTGGCCGAACCTATTAGGAATAGTTTGACATTCTATATTTATACTTTTTGCGTTTTGAATACCGCCAACTGTTACGTCTTTGCCACGGTTTAAGCACGCGTATATTCGTAACAATTTTATTATAACGATATCTTAATTATACGTACCGGCATCATCCCCTTCCGGGCGTTCTCATCGCCCGGCCCGCGAATATCTTTCCGCTTCTAACTTTGGATTCCGGTCAATCAACTTCGGGAACTACGGAATTAAAGAATTGAGTTCAGACCGATAAGGTACCTCATTCTCGGCACGCAACGAGTGTTAAAGGGAAAATTAGATAGCGATCGGAGACTCCGACTTATTGATCTAGCGGCGTGTATCCTTTGCTCTAACTCAATAGCGACACTGCGCGTCCCATCACTAATTAAATAATACCTCGCTAATTATACGACATAATTCATCCAAAACCTCGCTTTCGTAAAATATCGCGTAACATACGAAAGTGTCAAACAGCAAATACCTATCAACTACGTACCCTATACACGCGATAAGATAGATGTGTCATTCCTTATATAAATTTCGAAGGACGAAATTAAACATTAGAAAATAGGGTTGGGCTGATACCCAATCTCAAAATGTCGTGAAACGATGGAAAGTAAAAATAAAATTTCGTTCGAAAAATTTGAATCTTAATAACTATAAAACCAACCACTTTCCAAGGAGATATTTTCCACGTATTTTTTCATATATATTAAACCCACTTCACAACACGAGGAACGAAGCAAAATTTACGTAATGGCAACATCATATTTAAATAATCAACTGTTACTTATTATCAAACCCGATTTGAGCGACAAGCCGAATTATAAAATAGTTAACTTTGCCTATGTCTATTAACAACATTGTAAATTTGTTTCTCACTCTGACTAATAAGGACTACCAACTAAGGTTTGGTTTGTTAGAAGTTCTTGCATTAGGCTTGCTCTGTTTGTGCTTATGTGTTCAGTATAATCTGTAATGATATTTTTTATGGTTCCGATAAAGCGAAAGTTTCTGCAATAAAACATTCTCAATTGGGGATCCTTCTGACAGTTTGATCTGAAATAGCCTAATACAAATGTGAGTACAACAAATAAAAACAATTATTTACGCTAAAATGTCGCACTTTTCAAAAAGCCTGTCAAATTGTCAATAAATTTGACCAGTCAGTACCACTCAGAATGCTGTTCATGTCTCGTGATAAGTGGGACGACAAGCTCTGGCGGTTGTTTCGTAGAAATTGATAGCTTCGCGAACAATTATACTCGTGGAAATTTTATCCGATGTAGAGCGTCGCTCCTTATTGTTCAATACAATGGAAACAGACGTAATACGCTCGCTCATCGTCTGTTTAGGTTAGGATATGCTTATTTATCCAAGACAGGGCTGAATTTATCTCCAGACAAAGCAGACTGACATCTAAAGGGCTCGACATTCAATTATGACCTAATATTCGTGCTAAGACGTTTTTAAATTGTAATGGCTTGTTCCAGAATACATCCGGTATTGAAATGCCATAAAACTGATACAGGGAGTCCTCGACTTACGACGTTGTTCCGTTCTCGAGACGCGGTGTAACTCGAATTTCAGTGCAAGTCGGAACATTATACTGTACAGTGGTACAGTGCATGAATTACTCTATACATATCGTACTGTATTGTAAAGTATGGTACTGTAATAAAATGTACAAATAATGCAAAAAGGACTTGATTAAAAAGACAGAAAACAATTATATATCACATGAATAAAAGCAAATACTGCACAGTGTTATCTTTTATATTTTTCATAGAATGCGTTCGTAACCTCGAAACAGCGTAAGTCGCGACCGTCGTAACCCGAGGACTCCCTGTATTTGTTTAATTTTTTATTCAGTTTTTATTTATCAGTATCAGTGTTTTTTGCCTGATGCTGCCACAACAAACGCAAATTTTAATGTTTGAGCTAAAAATGGCTCAACGATTTTGTAGAGATTGCGATTAAATTTAGTTTTGGCACGAGGCTTATTGTTTTGCACTTTTGCTTTTGTAACAATGTAAATATTGCTCATAAAATGTAACTTTTTACGTAACGCATACATGGCCCGCCGGTCTAGGTGGGCAAAATTTTTGGCCCTTGGTCCGGAAACCTTGCTCTTCCCCTTTTTTAGACCCACAAAAACTGTAAGAAATGCTTTCATTTTATCCTATTGAAAATTTAAAAAGCGATTCCTTCGTCCAGTAGAATAAAAAATGTTTCTTGAGAGTTAAACCAATTTTAGGAGCTCAATTTCACAAGCCGATAAATAGACACAAGTATGATCTTTAACACTTGTATTGTTTATTTAAAAAAATTATAATAACATCCGAAGCAGTGATACCCTGTAAGTATGAACGCCTTCCAAAATTTCAAACGAGCACCTATATTTGAGGTGCCACCACATTTCAATTCTTAACCTAATATATATAATTGTATTCCGATATCCAAGAAGTGATTTATATATAAATGCATGGTCAGAATACGCAACACAGTCCCCTAGGCAATTGTACTAATCGAGTCAAGTTTCGAATGTAGAAGTTTAGTTTTCAAATTAATAATGAAATTCGCAAAGCAAAAAAATAGAGGAGTTGACACGGCTTTGAGCCTTCTTCGACGTTGTGAGCAGGGCGGGCATGTTTGCATTTAATCGCATTTCGAGCAAAATGGAAGAACGACGGGGACGTTCCCTATCTACTGGGCTGGTTTTAACCCTTTCATAGTTTAAAATTCGCATTATCAACACTCGGTTTATTTTACTGTACATCAACTCGCCGACATACTTTGCAAAATTGATTGAATATCAAGACATAGAATTTATGGTTGCCAGATATTCACCGTAAAGTAGCAGCGAATTTCGGTTGGGCATCGATCTACTTTTACGCTTGTAATGCGATATATTTTAAATCCTGTCTACTGTTTACGGCATGTACGCCAAATACATTGAATGGTCAAATTTGAAAATAATGAAAAATAGTTTAATAATCGTGTTCTGCAGAACTGGTCAAGCTATGAACCTTTCCCCGAGCATCGACTTCCCTGTTTACTTCGTGACATTAGCCAATTAGCAAGATGCAAAAAGTGACGTAACAATGCTCCCTTTTCGCATCCGCTCAGACACTTTTCTCACTCAGACAGATTTTCAAGCGTGGTCGTAAACATTACCTCGTTTTCGCGTTTTTGAACTCTATTCGTTAGTTTTCAGTTGTGTTTCGGAAACTTAAATATAAACCAGATAATTCAATGATCACTCCATCTTCCTATGAGTTTCAATTTAATTTCAGTTATAAAAATTAGTGTAGAAATAGCTGTGATAGACTAAGCTAAAAAATTTTACCGGTGCTTTTAAAAAACAGATTGTTGTATGCGATAAATAATAATGATGTTTTGAAACACATACCCCATTTTACAGGCGCCAACTCGCAGAAGCACTCGTAAAATAAGCCCCGAAAATTTTGCAATGGTAAAGTATAAAAAGATTTATTAGGGGTTGAAACGTCGGGGGAAGGTCCATGGACTGTTGCTACATGAGAACGATTATACGTCGGGTATTTGCGCATGTATAAAACGCACAGGGTAGGTGAACGCAAGATGAGATGAAGCAGCCGTGGGATACGGGACTGTGCTGTATGTTCTGGACCTACACTTAGAAAATTGGTCAAACTTCATTTCCAATAATGCTTGTTCTGGAATTGGAATAACTGCTATTAGGAACATAATGGTGCCGAAGAAGGTTAGTGGTTTTAGTATAAAATACGAATGTGAAACTCATTGGCGAACCGTCGGATCAGTCTAAAAAAAGTTGTTTCTCGAGAGCGGCCTAACATTAAACAACGGTGATGATAAAAAAAAACAATATTGCATTGTTATGGCTTCCTTTCATCCTAAATCTCTGTAAACCTCGGTCGTTTGCTTTCGTCTGTAATTGAAATGCCTCGTAATTGCAATATTTATATGCAAGAATTGCTGGTACCAGCGTGTATTTCCGTGTGTGTTTTACTTCGGGGCTTGAATATTCGTCAATCGTCATTGCCCTTATTTTGCCTATAAAACTTCAAAATGGGAATTCTAACAGCGGCAATACTGCGGCATAACCTTCCACAGATCCGATAAATAAAGTTGCATTCCAATTAGGCATCGGAATGGTCAATGCGTCTATAAACACGATGCCATATGTGAGGAAGCGTTTTTGTTGCAATCGAGCCCTATTTCAAGTAGTTTAACTGCAAGTTTGTAAATCAATGTGGGAAATTTATATGCTCGTTCTGTTATCTCCAATCTGAGCTACCTAACACATGCGCAACCATTCCTACAAAAAACAAGTCTATCGGAAAGTTTTTGCCTGTAATAGAATTTGTATATAAAGGTCCTCTAGTTATTTCCCTTTTGTTTTAAATCTTACGGGTTCAAGTATAATGATTCTTGCCACGGAAGAGTGTTACTTTGAAAAAATAAATTCAGATAGATATACAGTATATATAGTTTATTTTCAAACACACGCACAAATGTTGAATCATAGAAACTGAAGAGGTTCAAATCAATCGGCAATTAGTGAAAATACCCGACTAAACAGGCCGCTGTGGTAATAATAATGTCGTGAACAACTGATTTTTTTATGGTAGATTTTGGGTATAATATATGGAACTTTGGGAAGTGGTCTCTCATATTTAGAAATTTGAGGAAGGTTTTTTGCGAAGGCACAAATCAAACTCATCATAAACCGCTAAATGTATGATATATACTGGTTGACCCATATGAGGGAGGCGGATTGATGGGAGGGGACACCACGAAACCTAACAGGGGGCCAATGTGATATTAATAAACAATTCATTAAAAAATTTTGGTGAACAAATATTTTTCGGAAATTTGTATTTCTCCTATTGCCCAGCTCAGTCGCATTTTACTTCTTGCTTGACGGAGGTCCGTCCTCATCACTAGAGTCGTCGCGTCCTCTTTTCCTTTTAGATGCGTTGACTGTAATAAATTTCGATATTATAACGAAGTTAATCATATCAACTCGTATGCATTCAAGTTATACTCAACATTTAGAAATCTCGAATTCTATTTAAACCCAGATTTTTATTAACGCATAAGCGATTCTTGTTTAAAAATGGGGCTGAAATCGTCATTGGAACAGGCGACTACGAATGCCAAATATGGACAGATTATAGTTTATGAAAGCTTATTGTTTTTATAAAGGTTTGTTCAAAGCATAACGCCAAACCTAAGGTTAAGGTATGACTGATACGTCGAGGGCTGTATATGGGTTATTCCCGCAACTGAGGTGTCAGTGGATAGTGTTCGAGACTACTTAATCACTAAGTCACACCAAGTACGTCGTGTATTATTTATTCTGTGTTTTTGAATAAACACAAGTACAAACCGTTGGTCGTAGACGCGTTTTGAGTTTGATGGAATGTCCCGCCGAATGACATATTTCCAGCGGAGAAGTTGCCCGTGTTGTTTTGTTGGTTTTTGATATTTGTTTGCTTCCCGATGTTTGTTTGCTTTCCGATGTTTTTTTGCTTCCCTATATTTGTTTGCTTCCCGATGTTTGTTTGCCTCCCGATGTTTGTTTTCTCCCCGATGTTTGTTTGCTTCCCGATATTTGTTTGCTTCCCGATGTTTATTTGCCTGTTGATATCTGTAAAGCGATACAAAGTGGTTAGTTGGGGCGATGTACCACATTTGTTGCTTAATTAAGATCCCCACCCATATCAATAATCACGGGATAAAATTAACTATTGCGTGAAGAAAATAAAATTCTGTATATATATACGAGCTAAGTAACCAAGGTTGGATTAAGAAATAACTAATCAACTAATTGTACAACTAATTTATTAATTGTTACTTGTAATTATACCTGAACTGGGTGTATTATCAGAAGCTTGCCCTTCAGATGGATTTTTGGGCCGGTTTGGTCTTCTTCCATCTCGAGTCTGGTGAGAACTCGAATGTTGATTTTCTGTATTTTTTTTAGAAAAGTATATTGTCTAGGTCTCTAGGAGACAAAAAATACATGGTCTGCAGGGAAGGACTTATTAAGAAAAGATGTAGCGTTTTTGGAAAGGAATAGGAGTGTGAAAAAAGGTTTTTGGGGCGTTTCGTTATGTAGTTTTTCGAAATGCGCAATTTTAAAATCGCCATAAAATATACGACACCATATAGTGCCCAAGCGAGGCATAGCATTTGAAAGCAATGCGCAGTTATTTCAAAACAGGGCAGACCTTATTAAAATGTATAATAGTTAATATTTTCATACCAGTCAGGGTGGTCTAAACTGCGGGCCGCATGCGGCCCGCACAACAATTTTAGCGTGCACTAAATCAATAGCAGACCATTTTTGAGTAATTTTAAACTATTCCAACTGGAAATAGTTCTTTTCCTACTCCCGATGTCGGGATTCATGTTTGTTAAAATCACGGAATCGCAATGTTGTATGTATAAACGTCAAGAAGGTGCCAATATAGAAATGATGCCCCGTGATTGGTACAAGGATACTGTATTGTCTTGTGAAGACAGAACCAAGCCGATGAAATGGGTCGCACTTTTTATCCAAACTTCGTACCTTAAGCTCGCGTCAAGTAACTCCTCATTTGGATAGACGTTTTGTGCCTTTATTTTAGTAAAAACACTGCTTTATTTTTGGGCGTTGGCCATGTGACAGCAGTGACAAACCGCGCAGTGACAAGTAATATCTGTCACGAAAGAATATAATTTAAATATAATAAATAAGCACGAGAAAAGATACGGAAAATACCACGGTATTTCTCGGGAAGCAATTTTAAAATAACTAAAGGCTTTATATATCTTCTCAAACAATGATTTGAATGGCTCTCTCATTTCTAAATGTATGTAAAATGGTTAAACTCGCGATGTATTGATCAATTTTGGGCTCTCTCCGACTGCGTCCCGCGAGACATCGTCAAAAGTTTTTGCGGCCCGCCAACCTCGCGATCTTGGACCACCCCGTCATACCTAATACAGACTTTCGTAGAAGAGGGGGCAGTTTTCAATACTAAAATAAATGACAAAAAAATAGTACAGACCTTTAAAACTCTCTGAAAGGCCATAATCGCTAAGGTAAAGCTAGTATTCCAATATTGAAGACCGGATTTTATAATTATTCATTATTCAAAACAAAGCCATTTAAAAATAACAGGGTCTGCTGGGAAGAACTTCTTCTTAGAAACAACACTCTTTTTTTGAAAATTCATAGCTTTTTTGGAGAGAGCAAAGTCTACAGTCGCTAAGCTAAAGTTCCAGTATTGAAAACGTGTTTTATATAATTATACCTGCATTTGGCGAAGATGAATTTTCCGAATCGCTTAAACTTTCAACGCCTGGATTCGAAGTCGAAACATGATTATTCCTTGTCGGTTTTTCAGAAGGCATGCTTAGTATTTTATACATACGTTACGTTGAGGAATTTGTACTGAAAAACAAGAAACTGATTCACGGGTCTTCCATCTTCCTGAAATCGGAGATTTACTACCTTACTTGATGTAAACCAAACGAGTTGGATAAATTGGAGGCTGTGGGCATATGCATCGATATCTAACGAAAAGTTGACGCGACATGTCGGTGATTGTCGCGTGACCACGTTTGAATTTAAGGGGTTTGAGGATTAAGTGACACTCCAGTCAAAAGTTAGGCTATTTTGTTGTTTTATTGGAATCTATATATTGATTTCATCGTTGTCGTTTTCAATTGAAGAAGATTATACACAGACAAGATTTTACTAGTTTAAATTAGACTAGTTTCCAAACCTCGGCCCGCGTAATGATTCAATGTGGCCGAACTTATTAGAAATAGTTTGACATTCTATATTTATACTTTTTGAGTTTTGAATACCGCCAACTGTTACGTCTTTGCCACGGTTTGAGCACGTGTATATTTGTAACAGTTTTATTATAACGGTATCTTAAATATACGTTCCGGCATCTTCCCCTTCCGGGCGTTCCCATCTCCCGGCCTGCGGATATCTTTCCGCTTCTAATTTTGGATCCCGGTCAATCAACTTCGGGAACCACGGAATTAAAGAATTGAGTGCGGACCGATAAAGTACCTCAGCCTCGGCACGCAACGAGGGTTAAAGGGAAAACTAGATAGCGATCGGAGACCACCGACTTATCGATCTAGCGGCGTGTATCTTTTGCTCTGACTCAATAGCGACACCGCGTGTCCCATCACTAATTAAATAATAACTCGCTAATTATACGACATAATTCATCCAAAACCTCGCTTTAGAAGGATATAGCGTAACATACGAAAGTGTCAAACAGACAAATACCTATCAACATACTTACCGATCGAGATCGATAAGTAACAACTACGTACGCTATATACGATGGAAGTGTGATACCTTTTATGAATTTCGAAGGACGAAATTAAACATTAGAAAATAGGGTTGGGCTGATACCCAATATCAAAATGTCGTAAAACTTTGTAAAGTAAAAAAAAAAATTTTGTTCCCAAATTAGAATCTTAATAACTATAAACCAACCACTTTCCAAGCAGATATTTTTCACGTTTTTTTTTTCTATATAGATAAAACCCACTTCAACACGAGGAACGAAGCATTTTTCTCGTAATGCCAACATCGTATTCAATTAATCAACTGTTACTTATCATCAAACTCGATTTGAGCGACAAGCCGAATTATAAAATAGTTAACTTCGACTATGTCTATAGGCAAAATTGTGAATTTGTTTCTCACTCTGACTTATAACGACTACCAACTAAGGTTTGGTTTGTTAGAAGTTCCTGTATTAGGCTTGCTCTGTTTGTGCTTATGTATTCAGTATAATCTGCAATGATATTTTTTATGATTTCGATAAAGCGAAAGTTTCTGCAATAAAACATTCTCCATCGCGGATCTTCCTGACAGTTTGATCTGAAATAGTCTAATACAAATGTAAGTGCAATAAATAGAAACAACCTATTTACGCTAAAATGTCGCACTATTCAAAAAGCCTGTCATATTGTCAATAAATTTGACCATTTGCTACGAGGTACCACTCGGAATGCTGTTCATGTCTCGTGATAATGGGACAACCTCTGGCGGTTGTTTCGTAGAAATTGATAGCTTCGCGAACAATTATACTCGTGGAAATTTTATCCGATGTATAGCGTCGCTTCTTATTGTTCAATACAATGGATACAGACGTAATACGCTCATCGCCTGTTTAGAATAGGAAATGCTCATTTATCCAAGACAGGGCTGAATTTATCTCCAGACAAAGCAGACTGATATCTAGAGAGCTCGACATTCAAGTATGATCCATTATTCATTCTGAGACGTTTTTAAATTGTAATGGCTTGTTACAGAATACCCCCGTATTGTAATGCCAATAAACTGATATTTGTTTAATTTTTTATTCAGTTTTTATTTATCAGTATCAGTGTTTATCGCCTGATGCTGCCACAACAAACGCAAATTTTGACGCTTGAGCTAAAAATGGCTCAACGATTTTGTAGAGATTGCGAATAAATTTAGTTTTGGCACGAGGCTTATTGTTTTCCACTTTTGCTTTTGTAACAATGTAAATATTGCTCATAAAATGTAACTTTTTACGTAACGCATACATCGCCCGCCGGTCTAGGTGGGCAAAATTTTTGGCCCTTGGTCCGGTAACCTTGCCCTTCCCCTTTTTAGACCCACAAAAATTGTAAGAAATGCTTTCATTTTATCCTATTGAAAATTTAAAAGCGAATCAATCGTCCAGTAGAATAAAAAATGTTTCTCGAGAGTTAAACCAATTTTGGGAGCTCAATCTGACCAGCCGATAAATAGACACAATTATGGTCTTTAACACTTCACTTTAACACTTGTATTGTTTATTTAAAAAAATTATAATAACATCCGAAGCAGTGATACCCTATAAGTTTGAACGCCTTCTAAAATTTCAAACGAGCACCTATATTTGAGGTGCCACCACATTTCAATTCTTAACCTAATATATATAATTGTATTTCGATATCTAAGAAGTGATTCAAATATAAATACAGATGGTCAGAATACACAACACAGTTCTCTTGGCAATTGTGCTAATCGAGTCAAGTTTCGACTGCAGAAGTTTAGTTTTCAAATTGATGATGAAATTCGCAAAGCCAAAAAATAGAAGAGTTGACACGGCTTTGAGCTTTCTTCGACATTGTGAGCAGGGCGGGGATGTTTGCATTTAATCGCATTTCGAGCAAAATGGAAGAACGACGGGGACGTTCCCTATCTACTGGGCTGGTTTTACCCCTTTCCATGCAATTAAATTTTTTTTTAAATAATCGTATTTGCTGCGCCAATTTTATGCATTTGTACCCCCACAACTAATCGACCGAATAAAAACTAAAGATCCTCTGCTGCCCACTGACGGCTTGTTGGAAAGCCTATTTAATGAGCATTTAAATCGTTCATTCATATTTTATTCTCTCGTCTTTAGAATGATTACGAAATAGCTCGCTATTGAATTTTAATGTTTGTTGACAAATATTCAGTATAATTATGTTATGGCCATGTTTGATTCTTTATCACTTTTAACACATCGGACTTTTTGTGACAAACGTATTCTTTTTCGGCAAAATTTTCGCTCTTTTGTTGATATTGTCATTCGTTTTTATTTCGTGAGCATATTTTGTGCCTTTTTTGTTATTTTAATCATGTTTAGCATTTATATACTTTCAAACAAATTTGTCTTTCTTACTAAAATTTTCCTGATATTTCTGTTGGAACCAACCACGTCAGTTTTTGTAAAAAATCAGCATGTTTGTAATGTAACTCCCGCCATGCTAGCTCCTTACGCAGCCATTACAATTGTCACTTTGATAATGTTTGGAACAAATATATATACCTTTTATGAATTTCGAAGGACGAAATTAAACATTAGAAAATAGGGTTGGGCTGATACCCAATATCAAAATGTCGTAAAACTTTGTAAAGTAAAAAAAAAATTTTGTTCTCAAATTAGAATCTCAATAACTATAAAACCAACCACTCTCCAAGCAGATATTTTTCACGTTTTTTTTTCTATATAGATAAAACCCACTTCAACACGAGGAACGAAGCATTTTTCTCGTAATGCCAACATCGTATTCAATTAATCAACTGTTACTTATTATTAAACTCGATTTGAGCGACAAGCCGAATTATAAAATAGTTAACTTCGACTATGTCTATTGGCAACATTGTGAATTTGTTTCTCACTCTGACTTATAACGACTACCAACTAAGGTTTGGTTTGTTAGAAGTTCCTGTATTAGGCTTGCTCTGTTTGTGCTTATGTATTCAGTATAATCTGCAATGATATTTTTTATGATTTCGATAAAGCGAAAGTTTCTGCAATAAAACATTCTCAATCGCGGATCTTCCTGACAGTTTGATCTGAAATAGTCTAATACAAATGTAAGTGCAATAAATAGAAACAACCTATTTACGCTAAAATGTCGCACTATTCAAAAAGCCTGTCATATTGTCAATAAATTTGACCATTTGCTACGAGGTACCACTCGGAATGCTGTTCATGTCTCGTGATAATGGGACAACCTCTGGCGGTTGTTTCGTAGAAATTGATAGCTTCGCGAACAATTATACTCGTGGAAATTTTATCCGATGTATAGCGTCGCTTCTTATTGTTCAATACAATGGATACAGACGTAATACGCTCATCGCCTGTTTAGAATAGGAAATGCTCATTTATCCAAGACAGGGCTGAATTTATCTCCAGACAAAGCAGACTGATATCTAGAGAGCTCGACATTCAAGTATGATCCATTATTCATTCTGAGACGTTTTTAAATTGTAATGGCTTGTTACAGAATACCCCCGTATTGTAATGCCAATAAACTGATATTTGTTTAATTTTTTATTCAGTTTTTATTTATCAGTATCAGTGTTTATCGCCTGATGCTGCCACAACAAACGCAAATTTTGATGCTTGAGCTAAAAATGGCTCAACGATTTTGTAGAGATTGCGAATAAATTTAGTTTTGGCACGAGGCTTATTGTTTTCCACTTTTGCTTTTGTAACAATGTAAATATTGCTCATAAAATGTAACTTTTTACGTAACGCATACATCGCCCGCCGGTCTAGGTGGGCAAAATTTTTGGCCCTTGGTCCGGTAACCTTGCCCTTCCCCTTTTTAGACCCACAAAAACTGTAAGAAATGCTTTCATTTTATCCTATTGAAAATTTAAAAGCAAATCATTCGTCCAGTAGAATAAAAAAAATTTCTCGGGAGTTAAACCAATTTTGGGAGCTCAATCTGACCAGCCGATAAATAGACACAAGTATGGTCTTTAACACTTCACTTTAACACTTGTATTGTTTATTTAAAAAAATTATAATAACATCCGAAGCAGTGATACCCTATAAGTTTGAACGCCTTCCAAAATTTCAAACGAGCACCTATATTTGAGGTCCCACCACATTTCAATTCTTAACCTAACATATATAATTGTATTTCGATATCTAAGAAGTGATTCAAATATTTAATACAGATGGTCAGAATACGCAACACAGTTCCCTTGGCAATTGTGCTAATCGAGTCGAGTTTCGACTGCAGAAGTTTAGTTTTCAAATTGATAATGAAATTCGCAAAGCCAAAAAATAGAAGAGTTGACACGGCTTTGAGCCTTCTTCGACATTGTGAGCAGGGCAGGGATGTTTGCATTCAATCGCATTTCGAGCAAAATGGAAGAACGACGGGGACGTTCCCTATCTACTGGGCTGGTTTTACCCCTTTCCATGCAATTAAATTTTTTTTTTAAATATTCATATTTGCTGCGCCAATTTTATGCATTTGTACCCCCACAACTAATCGACCGACTAAAAACTAAAGATCCTCTGCTGCCCACTGACGGCTTGTTGGAAAGCTTATTTAATGAGCATTTAAATCGTTCATTCATATTTTATTCTCTCGTTTTTAGAATGATTACGAAATAGCTCGCTATTGAATTTTAATGTTTGTTGACAAATATTCAGTATAATTATGTTATGGCCATGTTTGATTCTTTATCACTTTTATCATATCGGACTTTTTGTGACAAATGTATTCTTTTTCAGCAAAATTTTCACTTTTTTGTTGATATTGTCATTCGTTTTTTTTTCGCGAGCATATTTTGTGCCTTTTTTTGTTATTTTAATCATGTTTAGCATTTATATACTTTCAAACAAATTTGTCTTTCTTACTAAAATTTTCCTGATATTTCTGTTGAAACCAACCACGTCAGTTTTTGTAAAAAATCAGCATGTTCGTAATGTAACTCCCGCCATGCTAGCTCCTTGCGCAGCCATTACAATTGTCACTTTGATAATGTTTGGAACAAATATATATTCCCAATCAAATAGATTTTTATTTGTTTAATGTTTATCAATGCAACAATGTTTGTCTTATAGCTTTTCCACTGGCCTATCATACACTATTTCGCAGCAAATTGTTTTGAATTTTTATTTTATTAAACCTTATTCAGAATAGAATATTGTCGCTATAGTATTACCATATTTGGTACCATTCGGCCCGATTCTGATCTCAATAAAACTAGACTAATTTATTTGTACTATTATGCTACAGTCATGTTTGGGAAAATATAATCTCGATCATGTTAGTGAAAAATTTAGTCGCTTCAATGAGACCATTTTTGTTTGTAACGTTTTTGCTGACGTTAGTATCGCTCGTTATTCCACGGCCACTCGTATATATGTTTGACAGAAACTCACACTCTCAATATAGTGAGAACATATCTGGAACGGGAATTATATTTTTGTAGGCAGCATAGCTCTTTGATTTGTGGCCATA